TATATATTCATACAATACTTCAATATCTATCCTGACACTTTGATGATTCATGAAAAAATAGAAAATGCACGTCCATTCTGTGTGCAGTCATAAAGCACGCAGGGGTTGGCAGAAAAGTTCTTGAGTGTTCTGCCAATCCCCAAGTGCTTTATAACTCCACACAGCACAGCAAGCAATTTTTTAATTTCTTTTATAAAATGCAAATTACAATAACTGTTATTTAGATAAAATGATGTAACTGAAAGTGAGCACTCATGCTGTGTGCTCTCATAAAGCATGCACTCCTAACCAATCAGAACATGAGATTTCTAACAGCTATTTTATAAGAAAAATTAACAGATGGTGGTGATAATGACGATGTCAATGATAATAACAATACTGCTACACCACCTACACTACCCAACAATCTATCAATTAAATACACTTCATATCTTTATATTCTTTTATTAATGTAAAAAATAAACAATTTTAAATTACAGTCACCGGTAAACAAAGATTGTTATTATAAACCAAGTGTCAAAGTTCAATTTTCCTCAATTTCTATTGGTCGAGAGTGTGTCACATGAATGTGAGAAATTCGACTGTTTCCTGGCAACCATTCTGGGAGGGGAATGTTATGTTATGGATCGGGAATAACAAAACCGGAAGTCACGTGATTGAAAAAATACAAAAACCGGAAACCAGAAAGCAACACATTTGAGCGCGCGTTTGCAAAATTCATTCACATGTTTTCTTTCACGAAACATCAGATTAAACATGGAGTCTTCCCGATTTTCTTGTTCTCTTTGACACTTGATATGATAATGAAGCACTTATTTACTGGGACCTCAGGAAAGCAATATGTTTTGTGGTCCCTCTACCAGCGGTCTCGGGACTACAAATCATGCTGTTTCYCTTGGTCCCAGTAAATAAGTGCTAAATATTAATAGTAGTAAGATAAGATCAATGTTTAAACCATAAACTCCCTTTTAATAAATCCCGCCATGCTTTATTTTCCTCGCTTGACATCAATTTTTTTCTTTTCAATTTCATTTAAAACAAATAAATTTCGAAAGAATAAATTTGGCGTCAAACGCAGAAAGGGTTTATAAACAATTCCTTTATGAATGGGAATATATATTATAATAATGAAAAATAACTACGAATACCACCTTTGTTGAAACCAAAAATATTCCTCCATCATATAACCTAACCATACAGTCAATTCAAAAAACGTTGTCGTCGACTGGACCGAAAAGAATATGGGTAAAAATCACTGAHGCGATTAAATATTCATTCTGAATAAATTGTTCCCGCTAGTAATAAGATAATAATGGTGAGAAACATCCATCAAATGCATGTCTTTGGGTTTAGGGAAAGGAAAAAAAAGTAGTTATGATTCAGTTCACAATTTCGAAAATATGAAGGCATTAAAAAAACGTCTCCTTCAACACTTCCCGCTCGCCTACGAAGGTTCGTGCTGTAAACAAGGYATAACTAGTCGGATAAAATTATGGAGTCAACTCGGCTTCAATGATTACTACCCAAAGTTCCTTTCGGTCCAGTCGCGTAGGCTTGAGTTGGTCGACGGCAACATTTTTTGAATTGACTGTATTCTTAAGCCTAATGTATACTCTAGATGTCATCAAACCAGGTTTCATGCAAGAAAAACATGTCACGATTATGCCTCCAAACTTCAAGGACTCTGCCCACAGACATCACCTTTTAAGTCTGCATCCTTTTCTTCACTAGTTGACATCTTTTTGATAATTTTATTGAACACGATAATTTTCAAAGAATATGCTGACACATGAAGAAAAGAATGCAGATTAAATGTTTGATGTTTGTGGGTGTAATCATTGGTATTTAGAGGAGAGACTGCGACATGTTTTTCTAGCATAGAAACACAGTACATCCATAGTATCCCACATCACAAATTATTAGTACTAACTTATTAAAAATTTTCCATTTTTGGTAACCTTTTCATACAATTTCAAATACATTAAATATTGGATTAAAAAATCATAAATTTGTTTCCATCAAGTTTGAATCAGAGAATAATGTAGTTTCAAACACATCCGTACTATTTTGAGAAAGGTCAGTACTGCACAACTCAAATTAGGAAACAAAAATGGCCAGATAGTTTTTTTTATTTTTTGGCAGGACAAATATTTTTTTTGGGAAAAAAGTTCCCCTGGAATTCTATTTTCTAGTTAAAAATTTTTATCCTTCTATAGAGCGTTTTCACATGACGTCACAGTGGCCACGTTGGTGTACCAAAACAATACTTTTGCTATCCTCTGGGAATTGAACTCTATYTTTATGCAAATACTGTGCAGAAAGTTTCTATTGTTTATGACTGCCTTCTCACGTGAGTGAAAACGCTCTATTAGCAAAATTCAACCTGCATTTTGGCCATAATAGGCAGGGAGGCCACTATATTTCATGCTCTATGATGGGGTAGGCAGTGATTAAGGTATAAGGGAGTATGACAAAAATTACTCCTGTGGAGGGTGGGGGAGGGTATGGATGTTTATTCTAACTACACAATAGAGTACCGAAGTGTGACGTCATCAAATTCCAAATTTAGCAAATTTCATATTTGAAGAGAACACAACATTGCCTACATTTCTGCCAACTGTAAGCCTGTTGCCTGCTGTAAAAATGGAGAAATTGGACATTTAAGCTCCAAAAATCCCCATTGATTTTCTTTTGTTTTGTAATGGATCCTATAGACCTCTTCGGCTTGGGGTTTTGTTTTCCCATTTCAGACCACGTGTCATTCCCTTGAGAATAATATTCTTTGTTTGAGCTGTATCCATATTCATGTGTCTTCTCATGTGCAACCGAGCACAATTTAACCTTAAACAAAGAAATGATACTCTAGGGAATGACACGTGGTCTGAAATGGGAAAACATTACGTCAGAGTCGAAGAGGTCTATTATGTGAGATCCAGCACCAAAAAAGAGAAAACATATGGTTATATTTTTGTACTAAATTACCTATATCTCAGCTTTTTTCACTCTATTACTCTCAAATTCTACTCTAAATCATATTTTTGCATTAAATTGCTAAAAATGTCACCGAAATCCTAAAGTTCTTAAGAAAACATTTTGTGATGTCAACACTTCAATAGTCTATCAACCTACAAGTGACTTTTGCTACAAGAAGGCTCTAGTCACAAAGTCTCTTTACATTTTACGGCAAGGTTTTCTGCAATCTTGTCCAGGAATTCAAAAGTGTTCAGGTAGTCAGACCTGACAATGTTCGGCAGTCCTTTGATACAGCCTGCTAAATCCTTGGTCATGGAGCCAGATTCTATTGTACTGATGCAAACTTCTTCTACGTTTTGACAGAATTTGAGGAGCTTTGGGTTTTCTACAACAAAGATGTTTTAAAGTAAATTAGCTTAGACAGGTTGCATGGGTGGATTCTGGGGGTAGACTGGGTTGCTAGGCAAGCCCCTTGGATTTTGAAAATAATTAGAATTAAGAAAAAAAGAAAAAWTTTTTAAAAGAATTTAGTCTACATGATGCCTTTCTAGGTCACAACAAAAAATCCTTTTTGACCTGCCGCTTGACTGAGGCCCCGTCCACACTTGTCCGGAAATTTTTGTATCCGCAAATTTTTTTTTTCGGATACAGGTTGCGTCCACACGTGTCCGCAAACTTTTGTGTCCATATCCGAAAATTTTACGAAAATGGATGCGTGTGGACTGTGAAAACGATTTGAATACGCTGTGTGTGGACGCAAACATTTTCGTATCCACAAAAAATAATTTGCGGATACAAAAATTTGCGGATACGTGTGGACGGGGCCTGAATCTCTGCATCATAACAATATTTTTGATGTGTCTACACATATCTAATGTGAATGGTGCGATACATTCTAAAGAGTTCTTACCATCTAGTTTGGCTCGATGCATCAATCCTCTGGTCCAGGCAAAGATTGAAGCTGAAAAACGTACAAATAGCACTGATTTTAAAACTTGAACCAATAGTGACTAAAACTAAATGTGAATGTTGAATGCAATGAGTGAAGGAGAACGATACAAACAGTTACAGTATGGCTCTCCACACCTGGAGACCTGTACATAAGGCTATTAATTATAATCATTTATATAGCACTCTTTCTATTTAGATATAATCAAAACTTGTGCTGTATGGGAAGCATGGGTGGCATAGCAGTGAGAGCGCTCGTCTCTCACCAATACAACCCGGGTTTGATTTTTGGATTTTTATATGTGAGTACTAGAGTTGTTTGTTGGTTCTCTCCTGTGCTTCTCCAATGCAACCCGAGTTCGAGTCCTGCCGATCTTGATGTTGTATGTGAGTAGAGTTGTTTGTTGGTTCTCTCCTGTGCTTCGAGGGCTTTTCTCCTGGTTCTCTGTTTTTCCTCCCTCCTCAAAAATCAAATACTAAATTCTAATTCGATCTAGAAAGGGCTTAGATGAAAATTACTCTGGGTAATTCTAGTTATGATACCAAATTATGTGTCATTTTTTTTTTACATTGAGGGTTTGTGAATGTCAGATTGCTATTTATGCAATTTAAAATTACAGAAGATGGTTAGTATGAGGTGTAGGCACTGAGGGTGGTCACTTCCAGAGTTTCTTTACGTCCTCAGTGGTTCTTCAAGTTTTTACAAAAATTAAAGACATCAAGGAATCGAAAAAATATGACTGACAATCAACCATAAGAAATCTACTTGGTTGGCAAAAAAGTACTTACCAACAGGGTTGGTTGATGTCTCTTTGCCTTGTTGGTGCATCCTATAGTGACGAGTAACTGTACCATGTGCTGCCTCTGCTTCAACTGTCTTGCCGTCAGGACAAACTAGTACACTGGTCATCATACCAAGAGATCCAAAGCCTAGAAAGACAGACACTGAGTCAGGCACACAGACGGAAGTGTTTTTTTAATATACTAGGAAATGGGCTAGTAATCTACTTGGCTCTCAGATCTTCAGTAATAATCAACAAAACCTCACTAGCGTATGGACTAGTGAGTCCTAAAATTTTCACTAGCCCGGAGTGAAGATTTATTAGTTCCACACTAGTGGACTAGTGTCAGTGTYGACTGCACAGATAAACAAACTTACAGACAGACGAACAGAGAGACAGACAGAAAGACCAGGAGAAAGACACTAATAAATGTATGACATTGGTCATCTTACAAAAATCCCATACAAACATAGAAGGACAGACAAACAAGCGGAGGATTGGATGGACAGACAGAGAGTCTAAAGTACCAGGAGACACAAGTTTATAAACATACAACATTTGTCATCCATACAAGCATAGACAGACAGACAGACAACTGGTACAGTAAGAGACACTTGATAAATCAAGCACTGCAGTCATTACCTTGAGCGACAGAGTCAGACTGCACATCACCATCATAATTCTTACAAGCCCAAATAAATCCACCTTCATTTTTCATGGCGAATGCTACCATGTCATCAATCAGACGATGCTCATACCAAATGTTAGCTGCTTCAAACATTTTCTTGTATTCCCTGGTAAATGTACAAATTTAAAGCAAAAATGATGTTTGTTGGTTAGTGTTTAGCATGTTAAGCAAGGGGTTAATAGTTTGAACCTCAGTAACCTCATACACTACTTGTTTTAAGGAGCAAGTGTGGCTTGGTTAGTGTGCTGCCTACTAAGCAAGTAGTCCATAGTTTGATCCTCCGTGACCTGACACACTTATTTTAAGAAACAAATGTGGCTTGGTTGGTTAGTGTGCTGCCTGCTAAGCAAGAGGTCCATAGTTTGATCCTCAGTGACCTCACACACTTGTTTTAAGGAGCAAGTGTGGCTTGGTTGGTTGGTATGCTGCCTGCTAAGCAAGAGGTCCATAGTTTGATCCTCAGTGGCCTCACGCACTTGTTTCAAGGAGCAAGTGTGGCTTGGTTGGTTAGTGTGCTGCCTGCTAAGCAAGAGGTCCATAGTTTGATCCTCATTGACCTCACGCACTTGTTTTAAGGAGCTGTGTGGCTTGGTTGGTTAGTATGCTGCCTGCTAAGCAAGAGGTCCATAGTTTGATCCTCAGTGACCTCACACTTGTTTTAAGGAGCAAGTGTGGCTTGGTTGGTTAGAGTGTAAGCAAGAGTTCCATAGTTTGATCCTCAGTGACCTCACACACTTGGTTTATAGTATAATCTTTTGACAACCTAACAAATGCCATCCTATGGTATATCATAAAGATCATAGCTAACATTCAAAAACTTACGCTTGATATATTTCTTCAAATATGTCTTTAAATCGTCCATCATACTTCTTTAAGATAGTATTTTTAGTGCTAAAAAATAAGATATGAAGAAAGATTGTAAAAAATTGTTGGTACCAGAGTTTTTTAATCAGGCAAAAGTTGGAATTTCCATGGTACCAGAGATTTTTCCACGCCAAGGTTGAAAATCTGTATGGTACCAGACGGACCTGTTTTTCCAGGCAACTAGGTTGGAAATCTTTATGGTACCAGACGGACCTGTTTTTCAGGTAAAGGTTGTAGATCTCTTATGGTACTCGAGGTTTTAAAAATATTTGGGTGTATTTTATGACTTAAAGCTGACATATATTGGTTGACAATCGCCTGACTGTTTCATACATACCTCATATATAGAGGATACTTCTTGTCTAAAGCATAATTAAAAGAGCTGTGTGCAAATGCACGGATTGACTGAAGTAGAAAAAGAAGAGATTAATGACTTGTACTTATCAACATCATCATCACTATCATCACCATTATCATCATAAATTGATCACCATCATATTCACCATCACCAAGAAATTTATCATCATCACCATCACCAATATCATTGCCATCACAATCATTACCACCACCATCATCATCACCATGTAGCTCACCATCTATCATCATTATCATAATCACCACCATCATCATCATTACTACAACCATCATCATCATCATGTATCATCATCAATCATCATAATTACCACCACCATCATCATCATGATAACTTCGTCACCATCACCACTATCATCACCATTAATGCATCACCACCCACCATCATCATTATTATCACCATCATTATCATCACCATCATAATCACTACCATAACATAAGTCAAGGTAGTTATAATGAAGACTATAGATCCTGAGCAACTTGAATTACCTCATCAGTATTGAACATGCCCATCAACACCCCTCCACCATTTTTAAAATCATGTACGACATATTCCACAGGTTTACTACCATCTTCTGGTGTGTACGTCATGGTTGCTTTACCAGGACCAGGAACAACAAAGTCTGTTGCTTTGTACTGAAAGGTATGAAAAATGTTACAAGAATGTGTGATGAACCGAAATATGAAGAAATGTGATGCAACAATGCCTGCAATGTTGCATAAAAAAGGCTATTTTTTGGGGTGTCACACAGTCGAGTAATGATGCATGCAACGTTGCATTAAACTTAAAAAAGTAGAAAATATTTAATTACTTCTACTTTTGCAACATTGCATCAGGGCTTAAAATAGTGGCTGGACATCAAACAATATCCTGCAAGAACTGGGACTTTTCTGGTCAAATCTTTGGCTTACCAGTCACATTGACCAGTACCATTTAGCCAGAAAAAAGGTATGACTAAGCTACAACTAATTTGGCTTGTGATAATGGCTGTTATTTTAAGCCTTGCATATGCAATGTCACATGCAACAATGCACCGTGTGTCTGCACCTTAAGAACATCCCCAAATATAGGAGATACGATATACGTATTTGAAGGTAAGAAAAGTATTTTTATATTCAGGATTAAAAGTATTTTTGCATTTAATAACATACCTGATCGGCATGAGCATGACGGCCGATAATAATAGGTTTTGTCCAGGCTGAAAATAACGTATTACATTAACATTAGATGGACCTTCGCATTTATACAGATAGTACATAAGCTTGTGTGTTTTTCGAAATGATCTATTTTCAAACTCCAGATACTATAAAATATCTTTGATCTTTTCAGTTATCTTTTGGCCTACCCTTCTATGTACAGTACGTAATAGTAGCCAGTACAAAATGTAGTCGACCGGCAGTAAATTATTCTTGGTGGGATTCCTAAAGTCCTAGGATGAGGCAACATTGTGGGGGAGTCAGACCCATGCACTAGAAGCACCAACAACCCAAACAATTTTCTTAGAAATATAAACAATCAAAAATTTTAGGCATGTTGTTAGGCACTTATCTCATACTTACGAGTAACAAGGCGTGGAATATTCTTACATATGATGGCTTCTCTAAATACAGTTCCACCAAGAATGTTCCTAATAGTTCCGTTGGGAGACTTCCACATCTTCTTCAGTTTGAACTCTGCAAATCAAGACAGTATTAAGGTATGTCTTTCATTATAATGGAATATGGGGATTGTATTATGGTCATTGTTTAGCTAGTGAGGTGATAAAGATTGACAAAGCTTAAAAATCTTAGAATGCCCAATTTTGGGGAATCAATTAGTCTTTAATTAGGTAGGTAACATAAATTAACTTAGATCAAAATAATGTTTCAGGGTTTGATCTGTGAGGTAGCCATGCCCTGACTTAGATCAGCCTAGAGCTTGTTTCATGGTTCAATCTGTGAGTTAGTTGTGCCCTGACTTAGATCAGCCCAGAGCTTGTTTCAGAGTTCAACTTGTAACTTAATTGTGCCCTGACTTTGATCAGCCCAGAGGCTGTCATGTATCTTAGGGCTAAAATATACAAGAGTAAATAATAATTTTTTTTTCTTTCCCAAGATATCAAATAATTTAACCTTCCAATCTTTTTTCATCTGGTGTGATTGTCGCACACTTGATTCCTACATGATACTTTTTGATGGCTTCAGCAGCTTGCACAGTAACTGAAAGAATAATTTAATACACAGTCCATAATTTATAAATTTGTACTATTATATTTCTCACAAACAAAACCCAACACAAAATAAGGATTTAGCAATTGCGATTGAAGGACTAACCAATAGAGACAACCCTCAAAGCACAAGAAATATCCTTGGTGAATACATTTTCTGTACTATGCCTACCATTCTTCACGACTGTACTAAAGTAGTGGAAAAACCTAGGGTAGAGTGTGTAAGACTGACCTTCCCCCCCCCCCCCCCCCCCCCAAAAAAAACACAACACAACTATAACTTCTTCCAGCTTCCCTTGCCCACAATTTAAAAATTGAAGAATTGAAAAATTATTTGAAGCCTTACTTTGGTCATCAGTGGCATCACGGTTCTGAATACTCAGGTCGAACAACTTGAGATCAACATCAACATAGGGTAAAATCAGCTTTTCTTTAATCAAATCCCAAATTATCCTAAAGAGACATTTAACATATAAGAAATGACACATATTAGTTTTGTATTACACAAACAAGGGCGTAGCGTGATCTCTGCCACTGGAGGGGAGGAGATGTACCATTTTATACTCATACAAATGCATGTGTATAACAATGGAAGGTAATGAGAAGTCTTTTGTTAGATACCACAAATAAGGCAGTGATGACATAATGTGCAAATGAAGAATTTGTGCAATGTCTATTGTTTTCTATTGTTTCATCAGTGCCAGTACTAAAAAATACTAGTTGTATTAGTACTGCTCCATGCATACGGTATTTGCATCCTTCCACGAAACATCCATAATTAATTATATGTACGAAATAAAAGTAATTTTTTCCAAAAAATTGGAATTTGTTTCAAAAAAATCTTAATTTCTCACTAGTAAGGCTAAAAACAGTGGAAATATTTACATTAAAACAGTTTAGAAATTTTGATATAAGATATATCAAACTCTCCTAATTTGAACAAGAAGATTATAATGTTCATAGTGTAGCTTGGCTATACAAATATTTTGACCCAATAGATAAGAACATGTATAAATTATCTGAACTTTTCAAAGCTTGTAAATAGATATAAAACGCGAACAAAATAAAATAAAACGATAAAGATCTGTACTTTAAATCTTTAAATTGTAAATAAACAATAAATTGAGGGGAATAATAGAACAGTCCAGTTTTTCGTACTTTTCTTAGAGTAAATTAACAAACTTAACCGCGTTTATCATTTAGTGGTTTTAGTTCACTACATATACAGCTACAGAAGCAAAATTAAGTAACGATTAAGCTCAGGCATATGAATACATATAAAAAGAATATTTGGAATATACGGTTGAATGAAGTTAAACGTGGCGGTGTTGAGTCTGTAACTCCAACGGGTTTTTCCCTGTAATGCAATGTATTTGAACAACTTTACGATATAAAATTACAAAAAATATTAAATCCTACCTGGTCATTTCATCTCCTTGTATCTCTACAACTGGTCCAGCTTCAAGAGAACGCATTGAAAAAAAATATCAGTAAATACACAGAGATCCAGAAATTTTTTTTCGCACAAAATCATAAAAAAACACCAGCTGTTTCGTAATGATGTGTACGTATTGGTAACGCCTCAATGCACTAAAATCTAGAAGTAAACGAACTAAATTGGCAATCTAGAAGCAACGGTGAGTTCAAGAAGGTGAATTATGAGTCTATGAAGTGCATTACCTTTTATTTTAGCCATTTTTGTGTAAAATTTAGGGAAATTTTGAAGAGAATTGCAGTGAATGTCTGTTTTGTTTGGAGCCTACACAACAACTGATACCTACGGAGCTGTCAGTGGATATCCCACAATGCAATACCAGATGTATGACCTTTGAACATCTATAGGATCATCCGACCAAGTTAAAAAAAAATTCCTCTTTATTTTATGAATTTTAGAAAAAGAATTTACGCTTGAATTTTTGTCAGGAATTTTCTTATCCACTTTCAATTTTATTTCATCGAATTTGTAATTTTATTTCAATAGTCAATGTGCGCGAGCACGAATCTCAAGCACAAATCATGATAGGAATTCCTCTGACAATTTTCCCTTCGACATTTCCTATAAAACTGTAAGTGTTTCAACAGATGACAATAACAGTAATTTTTTTCTGATAATTCTATTGATTTCCTTGTTATGTGTATAAAACTCGGTTTCCCATCATGCTTTGTGCTAGAGATTTCGTGCTCGTGCACATTCTATTGAAATTGTTCTTTCACAAGACAACTCATTTTAAGGAGACACAACAGCTCGGTACTGGTACATTCTGTAATTTTCTATAACAACAATGACGTTACACTATTTCATTATTAATAAGATAACACAAAAAATTACAGTCGCATTTACATTGCATTACGGTTCTCTCATTTATTCTTTTTGGGCTCTCTGTGTATAATTTTCCCGCTATTTTTGCGCGCGCGCGTCTGAGTTTAAAAGTCTTTTTGGAAAATAGCGGGAAAAAACTTTTGGTCATAAAGAAAGGAAAAGATATTTCAATCATGAGTTTTTGTCCGCTTTTTTTTCAACTTTGTACCTCACGGAGACTAAGAAGATTTACTTATTTTGTAGTTTATTTCTATATTTTACTGCCTAGTAGTTAAAATGGCTCGTTTTTGCTTTCTTCCTCCAACAAAACGACCAACATTGACAAGAGTTCAGACGACAAAGCAAAAGACAAGAGTAAATATCAAGTTCTATTTTCTTCTGTTACAGCTGTAAAGGAAAAAGGAAAGAAAAAAAGGAAAAATACGTCGCTAAGTATTAGAGAGACTAAATGAACTACCTCAGTTTGTGAATATTCACTAGCGTTATTTTGCATGGTTTTGTTCTTGTTTTTCAGAAAGTTTCTTCTTCGATGAGCGATGGGATGTTGAAACGACTGGAACCAGTTTTTATACCGAAAAAAAGAGTACAAAAGGGAAAACAATGTTTTAAAAATAAAACAGAAATTGCAAACTCTCCAAAGCCAAACAATGAAGTACAGAATGTCGTACAAACTCCAAAGAAATTACAGCCTAAAGTCAAAAGTCAACCTCCAAGAAAATTAATTCGTAGAGAACTCTTCCCTCAGAAAGAAGATGAAAAGATACGAAATGTTCTTGAAATTGTTGATGAACAGAATAAAGAATGCAAAGAAGACCAGTTCATCTTTCCTGGTGGGAATAAAAGCCAAGAAAATCCCTGCAAGATGACAGAGGGCCAAGATGATACAAAGAGTAAGACAGATGGTTTCAAAAAGCCAAAGTCTTTGCCAAAAATTTCTAAGAGGAGAAAAGAAAAACAGGTAAAAATAAGCTTAATGGAAGAAGAAAAGGAAATGGAATTACAGTCAAAAAAGTAATAGAATTAAGAGAGAAAATAAAAGAAATGAGAAACAGAAGGAAGAGACGAAAATAGATAAAAAAATAGGAAAGGACAGAAAGAAATGAAGGAAGGAAACAAAAAATATATAACTGCCTTCTACTTTTTTGCTTAATTTTAGAGAAGTATCAACAAATCAGTTCTTGAAATAATAAGAAAAACACAAAAAAGCATTCAAAAGATTAGAAATCAAGGCCTTTCTAGGAACACCTTGACTGATGTATCAAAAGAATCAAATCAAGGTACAGGAACTGAGAATTTTTAGATTGATGTAGCTTTAAAAAAATATTATGACTGCAGATAAATTTATTGGCATCAATGTCCTTACTCTCATTATTTTAGAAAATAAGGCTGGACTAAAAAAGGCAAAGACAAATCTGAATGTTCAAGTGTCAATATGCATACCAAATTCAGGCATTCAAAAGTCTGAAGTAAGTACATGAAGAATTCAAGCTGCAAAGCACTCTTAATACTATATATATATATTACTGATGGAAAACAAGGTGCCATTTTTTGAATGCAACTGTTAGATAGCTAGAGTGGGTACGGATTTCAATTGGGCTACTCCCCACCCCCTCCTCAACCTTACAATAAAAAAATGGTTGGTTGTTTATTCATTTTCTTGAAAAGAACTTTATTGTACTATTCATAGTGCACTGTCCAGCAGTCAGGAAGTGTAGAAGAGGAAGACATAATTGGATACAAACATGTGGGGATCAACAGCTTCCAAAATATTCAAGATCTTCTTTAAAATCAGGTGCATGTATCACTTTCTCATATGGACAAATGGTAAATCATGATTTTAAAGGAACTTTTATGGTAAGACTAAAGGTTTGTTCAAGTGTCAGGTATGTTATCTTAAAAAAGCTAATTTAATAGCTGGTTTTATGTGACTGAAATGGATAAAACTGATTGATAGATAATATCAGGTCTCTTATCCAATAGGACCATTTGCACACCTGTTATCTATATGAACCTCTATTTTGACCTCTGTAGTCATCTTGTCTCAAAAACCTATCTGAATTATGACTATGTAGCTATGCGTTATAATATTCATTTTTCAGGGCATATTTAAAATGCACTGACAACTGTATGTATTGCAATATAACTGTGCAAGTGTCATGTATAAAGTATGATTGCAGCGTGACTGTATATTATTAAATAGAAAATAATATTTTATATATTAATTTCATAATAATCCACAATATATCAAATTGCATTTTTCAAATTAGATAAAAGCTCTTTATTTAAAACTTTCAAATATGTTATTATTTACAAAGAAATATTGTTGTCAATACTATGCATAATTTTCCATCCAAAAAGGCATAAGCAAGAGCTATGTGCTCGTAACATTAAATATTAAAATAGAACATTTAAAAAATAGAGTTAATAGTCATAGATTTCTTATCCCATAAATAATATCATTAATCTTTTCTTCCCTTTTATTTCTTGTGATAAGATATATTAAAAACTGCTTGTCTTCTATTGTTAATTTGAACAAATGTATTAAATACAGCTGTATATAAAATTCAAAAAAGTGAATTCATTAACTGCATGTAACTGCTTGTACACTAAGAACTGTACACATGTGATCCTGAGCATGTCTGTGCCTGAAAATGATATCAAAAATAAGTAGAATCAATTAATAAATTGCTTTTCCACAGAAATAACGTGGCATTGTGGTTGCGCACTTGCCTCTCACCTCTGGTATTTTGGAGTAGGAACTTGTAGATCATATGGATCGCCTTAAAAAGCTTTGTGAAACTGATGTTTCGGACGTTAGTCCTTCGTCGGAGGACGACGACAAAGGACTAATGTCCGAAACATCAGTTTCACAAAGCTTTTTATGGTGATTCAATTTATCTACAAGTTCCTAATGCTTTATTCAGAAACACCGATGCAGTCCACGCTAGTTCTACTAGTTATCACCACTCGTCTGGCATTTTGGGTTTGATGACATGCTAGCTAAATCCCAATTTGATCCATGAACTAGCCATGTTTTGACTTTCATCAAACCATAGGTTGCTTCAGGGCATTAACAATTTAATTGAAAATCTGAAATTCCTTTATTTGTCCTTCAGACGAACTATTTATAAAATATCTACTGTGTAAAAAGGCATGGCACGGCACAGCATCTAAGTCTAATCATGTTGTGCCTTGATATGGATACTGACGGAGCACATTACCTTATGCAGAATTTCTTGCCACATTGATTACAATAAAACGGCATCAGTTCATTCTGTCAGCAACTCTTATAAGAACACTTGTTTGTTTTCTTGGCTTTCCTTAATACAAGGTCCTTACATCCACTTATTATATGCTTTTCAACCTAATGGAAAAATGAATAAAACTCTTAATTGTAGCAAATTGAAACTCATGCCATTACATTCTTTAATAACTATCAAATTTATCTCTAAAAATTTAAGGTAACACATCTTTAAATTGATATGATAGCTGATGAAAGATAATGATGATAATAATTGTTGTTGCTGTTTCTTTCTTTTTTTGTTGTTGTAGTCAAAACATTCTACCACTGTTTCATAATGCTACTCACCGATCAAGAAAACAGTGGCAAAAAAACTACCATCAATCAAATAAATCATTATCCGCTACTATTATATACTTTTATATATTAAATACAATGATTTGTAGATGTGCAGGCAGTCACTTTTGAAAATCAGAAAACAAAAGCAGAAATTAGAATAACAAAACAAGCAACTCCTGAATTTGAGACTATAAACCCAAACAATTCTGGAAATAATGAAATTTTTAAGAGTACTGAATAGAAGGTAAAGGTAATGGAAACCATTATAAGAGGTTATATTATGTGAATAATTTATTTGATTGATGGTAGTCTGTTGCCTCATTTCTGGTCATTTCTGTGTCAAACATGCAAACTGTAGACTGACAACTATATCACTGTGTTTTACCTGAGTATTAATTTCCTCGTGTTTAGCTTTCTTAATTAATTCTCCACATAATGGACAAACAGGAACATGAATCTACATGAATAATGCAAATAATATTCTAGAGTGAATAAAAATAAAAATAACAGCTAACCTTCAGTAATTTAAAAATTACAAAAAAAAATTTTTTTTTCAATAGAAATATTGTAGACTGTGCAAACCCATGTAAATATCTATGCATTCCCGTTTGAAGGGGGCTACAAATACTAAGGGGTGGGGAGGGTCTCCAAATATTCTGGTTTTTTTTTTTTTTGATTTTCAAAAATTCAAACAAAAAAGGGGTTATCCATTTTTCGGCAATAGAGAACATTTGATTTGGGAATTTAATAGTTTAAAAAGTAAAACTTAGCACTAAGATATTATACTATTTTTTGCTTACGTCATTTTCTTTCACTTCTTGGCATTCGTGTTCATTTGGCATTCTATGGTCTAAACTTTAGATTTTGAAATAGAACACATTGTAAGTTTTTAAGATTTACAACTAACAAACTAATAACAAGTGAACCAGTTATGTAGAAGGCTTGTATAAAAAGAAATCCGTATATTCAGATTTTCTGTTCTGAATTATGGTCAACCTACCAAAATAATCGTTTACAGTGACCACAGTTAAAGGGCAAAAAGTCTAGCCTTTTACACCAAGATACAGAACAGTGGCGGCCTATTGATAATAAATCCACTTCCTCGGCCATTATGTAGTTTATAAGATTTCACTGTGCGCTGAACCTCGTGAATTCAACTGAGTCATCTTGATTAATCTACGGTATTTATCGTTATTATTTTTGCTAAGTCATAAACGAACCAACCAGAATTTGAGTTGTAGTCTAAAAATAGAAACTCGTTTCTAGGCCCCAATTTGATGGTACTCACGACTGCTCGAAAGCACAGGAGGACCTAGACTCTTCAACAGTCTCTCGCTCGTCCGTTCCGTCTCCACGCTTAGAGACTGTAACGGTACAATGACCGAAAGGACTTATGGGTCCCGAAAACTTGGACCCAGCGTGCTTTGGGAACCAAAATACTCGTCCACAGTCTCTCTCGTTTCAATATTTTCAAGATGGCGGCGAAAACGAGAGAGACTGTGGACGAGTATTTTGGTTCCCAAAGCACGCTGGGTCCAAGTTTTCGGGACCCATAAGTCCTTTCGGTCATTGAACCGTTACAGTCTCTAAGCGTGGAGACGGAACGGACGAGCGAGAGACTGTGGAAGAGTCTAAGGAGGACCACCCTTCCTGCGTCTATTTTCTATCTATGCAAAATCTTCTAAATTTTTCCAGTTCAGACAAAAGTGGGCAGTAAGAATTCGGACCTGACGGCAATTTTAAAAGATCTACAGCCCTTGGGCGTCCGGATTACGCAGGTTGATGTTCTAGCAAAAGCATCGGAGGAGAGACCAGCCAGCCCCCAGACCATATCTGCATCACCTGCAACGCACTAGGCACAGTGATTTGAAGTAGAAAAATAACCAAGTCTATCTGGTAATTTTTTTTCTCGGCTTCCGAGACAGTGAGCCTGGATGGGTAACCTGAAAATTAAACCTACTATTAACATTATATTTCTAGTTTTATTTCTTTTTCTATTTAGATTTTACTTGAATGGATATAGAACAATTATTTTTTGCTCACAACTCGATATTAGATGGTTTGGATGGGCGTATCTGAATAAGTGTATGACCGAGATGGTTGGATGGGCGTATCAGAACTGATAAGAATGTAAAGATAGTGATTGGATTGTCGTGTCACATGCACATGCGCATGCACAAGAAACTCGATTGGATGGGTGTTTCAGAATAAGAATGTACCCGAGATGGATTGGCTGGGCGTAACAGAATACCAATGTACCCAAGCCAATTAAAACGGCTTACTTATTTTTATTTTTATTAATTGTTTTTAAATCTGTCTTGAAAGGTTTTTATAAAACATATGATCAAAACAAATGGTCCCCACTTGTCTACATTCTCTTCAGAAGTACAGGTCTAGAACAGAGCTTGGGCTGCCTGTGCAATAACGTGAATGACATAATATTGTTTAGTCTAGGGGCACAGAATTTATTCCGATTATCCGCTTGATGTTTTAAATACCAGTTTGGACTCCCTGTGTTTGGTTGTTGATGAGCTGCCATCGAAAGCGAAAGTTACACAGACTAGCTATAAAACCTAAGTGCTTACCAAAATAACAGCGAAACTTTTCTCGTTAATAGACTAGGGAAGTTCAGGAGACGTTTTTGAACAACTCTATCGTATCTAAAACAGAAAGAGAAACGATTGGAGTAGGTAAGTCTACTTTGGAACATTTCCGGGTTTGCAATCGAGATGATAAACACATCGTTTCAACTTTACTTTCATACATGCATATAGCTCAAAAATCACTTATCTAATGTCCAATGTTATATATTTTTTCATATTTTCGGTTTCACAGTTATGTAGCAGTGTTTCTGCTAAGTAATTATTTGCTTTTTATTTTTTTGGAATTAATAGTTGATTTTTAAAGTGTATATGACACGAAAACATTTCATCGTTTAAAATGTATAGTTTGTTAATAATAATAAATGTGTCGTAATAAAATTTGTTTCAAAAGCTTATTTCTTGAGATATGTGAGAAAATTAAGCCCAATTTGTGACGTCATTTTGTTGACACGTACTCTAGATTCGGTAGTAATGCACTAAATATAAATTGTAATTCGTATAAAATAACAACAAAAGGCATATTCTATTCAGCTTTATTTGATAGCTTACATAGTACTCTTCAAATGTTGGGGAACTGAAAAGTGTACTACCTGAAATTAAGATTCTACATTCAAACATATTTCGTGTATTTGCAACTAAATCTGGAGACTTGTAAACAAAATGACGTCACAACGCGTGCTAAATTTTCTTGAATTTCTAGAGAAGTACGTTTTTGGAACAAATTTAACCGTGATATTCTTATTARTGCCAATAAACTACACATTTTTAACATTAGAATTTTTTCGTGTCATATGCACTTTAAGGATTTCTAGATGTGAGAGGGTTGTTAGAAGTTAAGTCAGTCTGCGTTTTTTACACGTACTTATTTTTGATAATATATCCTTCTAGCGAAATCCTAGACATATCTGAATGTTGTATAGAACGGTCTGAACCCAGGTGAATGAATGTATGTCGAAGTATCATTATTATAGTATTTGTTATTGTCAATCTGACTTTATTCTTCACTTGACTCTGAAGATGACTTCCGCTCAGGTTGTCGAAACGTCAGTCCCATCAAACAGTCCTTCTCAGGATTACATCCACCCGGTTGATCACAATACTTCGATAAACATATCTGATATCGTTTATGTAAAAGGTTCTAGCTGAAATGTTTATATATAGGCTTCGATATACGCTGCTGACGATTAATGAGGCATTAACTCCTTTGGTTACCGTAAGGATGYCTGTAACAAATCACGCAAATATTGATCTCCCAAGTGATGCTACTATTAGCCTGCCTCACAACCGGAATTTTCTTCGTAAATACCGTGGACTTATTCGAAAGAAAAGGACGGATGGAACGCAGACTATGCTACTATGAGACGAAAACATGAACGATTGAATGAGATTAGCAGGGCTGTCAACTCTCCCGGATAAACCGGGAGTCTCCAGATTTTGGACCGTATCTCCCGGTCTCCAGATTAGAGTATCAAATCTCCCGGATATTCCCCGAAGCTGACCATTTCTTGTGACACTCGACTTTCACAACCATAAAATTCCAATTATTTCATGTTGTTTGTGTTATTTTACATCGCTAACAAAATCAAAACGTTCCTCATAAACTGTTCTTGTAAGCAGGCTTTTGTAATATAAGCGATAATCTGATTGGTCAGAAATAAACCAATCACATCAAATGTTACAAAGCGAAAGACGTCTTTTCGCGAGCTTTTTGGCGCGCTGTGACGACATGTCCCTTGCCTATCAATTCTCCAGATTTGAATATCTCGGGGGTTGACAGCCCTGGATTATGGGGGAAAGCGAGGGGGGTGCTTTCAAATTTTATCGATTTACCGCCAGGGGTGCATGGGGGGGGGGGGGGGGGCGGTGGAAAAAAGGCCCAAGGAGGTGGGAGAGGGGGGAACACACAACAATCCGAGTCGCACAGTACTCTTACAATCATGAATAGAATGGAAACAATAGATTGGTCGTTTGTTATTGTTTCTTTATTTGTAATTTTTCTTATCAGTTGTACCGGCATCTGTGATTCAAGATGGGAGCAGAGCATTCTTTAGAACTGAGACGTAGACAAGGTCTCCCTCCAGAGTTGGCTGATGCCCTTCTCACTAGTGCATTGCTGGAGGCCCTTCAAGAAGCTGCCAGTGAGTCGGATGGCTCTTCAGAGATGTTAGAACATGCTTGGGATCCAAGGGATTGTTCACCACCCTTTGTAGTTCTGCCTGACAGACTGACGGCAAGAAGGCGACCTTCAATACTCACTACAGACTGTATACGAGGTAATATTTAACAATAATAGTAGTACATAAAAAGCGGTGTTCCTCTTTTAAAGTCTCTAGTTTATTAGGAAAATGACTGCCATTAACATGGTCATCCGAGCCACGGGAAGGTTTAACCACTTGCGAATATTATCTCAAAGGCAGTACCTTCTCATTAGTTATTTCATGCGAAGACCCTGAGTGCTGAGGGCTTTGACTCGAACCACGAACTAACGCATAACACGCTCTTACCACCTGCTCTGTGCAGAATGCGTGGTCCTATAGCAGGCAAAAAACACTTTTGATTTTTATTATTTTTACCGTGTCCTCATTTTTTAGGCAAAAAAGGGTATCGAGGTGGACAACACGTCTGGGAGATTAAATGGGAAAATGAAGAAAGAGGAACATTCGCCATTGTTGGAGTGGCCACACCTAAAGCTCCTTTACAGTCTCTGGGTTATRAGCCCCTTATTGGCAGCAACAGCGAATCTTGGGGGTGGGATATTGTCAGCAAGACACTTTGGCATTGCGGAAAAAGGGGCAGTTATCCAGCAGTTAGGACAGGATTCCAAGTACCTGATACATTCTTTGTAATCTTGGATATGGACCAGAGGACGCTGAGGTAACATTATTGGCTATAGTATACTATATGTAATATATAAAATGTTATTTTAAACATATTGGGAGAAAAGCGCAGTCCGCTGAAGGCAGATTATGACACACATAAGGTTCTCGACGATATCTAAGTGGTAAAATGTCGGTAAAACTACTTYGAGGCATCGCACAATTAATTGCCCCTAGCGAATACCATCGTTACTAATAAAGAGAAACAAAAGTTTCACGTTACAAGACAAGTTTTCTTCTGTTGCAGCTTTCTCCTACACAAAGGTCTTTCTGAGCTGGCCTATAATTTCAATTTTAAGATAGCTCTCAAAACTGAATAGTGTAGATCAAAGAAACATTACTAGTATGGGAACTATAGCAGATGAGTACATGTATACAAAGAGCGATTGCGTAACAAAAAATAAGCCAGCAAATATAGAGCATCTAAATTTTGATTTCTCTATTTGAAGCTCAACCGTCTGAACTTTAACATATGACTTTTTCCTATTTGTCTTAAAGTTTTTCAACGAGTGATTTACATTTGGGTGTTGCCTTTACTGATCTACCAAAACAGTTGGATCGTCCAATGTGCCCTGTTGTGAACGCCATCTTCGGCAACTGTGACATCCGTATGAGATACATGGGGAAGGGTGGTAAGTTAACTTACTGCATGTAATATCTTGAACTTACTAACATTTTCAGGGACGGATCCAGGAGTTATAGAAAGGGGGAGTGACTATTTTACAAAGGTTTTACCGGGAATTTGAGGAAAAGGGGGTGAGTGCTACTCCCGATATACGGAGAAATTTGAGGAAAAAGGAGGTGACTAGTCACCCCTTTTGCCACCCCTTGATCCGCCCCAGAGTTTTGTAAGGCCGATTCCATTTTTTTCTGTATTTGTAGAATCCATTATTTCAAACCTCCGACGTCCTATAGCTTTTCATCGCGCAACGTCCGAGACCCCATCTGAAGCTCCCAAAAAGGCGAGCGAGGACTCTAGGCGAAAATCAACGGGAACACCAGGAAAAGACTCGGATAGCTCTGTAGTGGAAGCGTCTAAACGTTACCAGTTTGCCCGTCATAAACACGGTGAAAATGTTGCAGTCATGTATGCAGGGAAGAAGGCCAAACGCGTGGAGTAAGTGATAATTTCTTTGCTAAGATGGGTGCATTCTAGGATCCACCCAATTTCCTAAATACGAATCTTTCACACTGGGCCTTACTAGTTGTGAGTTCGAACGGGCGGACGGACGTACCGACAGACCAGTTGTATATAATATTAAATTTGTTGTTAAACAAGCCCGGAAATTCAAAACATTGACCCATCCAGCTTCTTTAACTAATTCAAAATGCATTGATTCCTTATAGTCCGTTTGGTTCTTGCTGTGATGGTGTTGTTATTACTTCTGAGCCACTTAAAGACAACGAGCTGTTTGAAGTGCGCTTGGACAGCAAGATAGACAGATGGGTTGGCAGCCTTTTTATTGGTGCTACAACTAATGATAGTAACTCCTTCAGCACTTTTCCACAAATCATGGTTGACTACACTCAAGGAAGCAACTTTATGTGGGCAGGAGATCAAATTGTTTTTAATAAAAAATTGACGACGACTGTTAAAGAAGACACAGGCAAATTGACGGTGAGTTTTTTTAAAGCCAAGAGGCATCTTGATGAACATAAAGGCATCTTGATGAAAATAGACGACCCCTGACTTGCAGCATAATCCCAGTGCAGCTAAAATCCGGGGGAAATGCAAAGAATTTCAATTCTAATGAGAGAAAAAATTAATTATTTTGTCTTTCAAATCGAACTGCTCAGGAATTATGCCGCAAGGGGTCCATAACGAGCTTGTCTACTCAGATTCGTGGGTTCAATCCCTGGATGGCCCAAACATCTAATCAATCGTCTTGGTGATTGTAAGGAAATAGGAGGCGGAGCCGCGGGTGCAGTGGATGCTGTAACACCCCCGCAATTAATTTATAGAAAGGGGAATGCATGGGAATATGGATTTATGGAAACAAGAACGTCGTGATTAGACACCCCTACTTTTCAACTCGCTCAGGTGCCTATGCTCCGAGATGTTGTCATTTACTTCCTAAAACCCATTGGGCTCTCCGCTCCCACACAGTGGTATTCCAGAGACACCGCTAGTAGTTATGTTTGGTTCTACCGTTTGTAATGTTCGTAATATCTTTCACTGCAGTATCAAATGATGGTTATCAAGAGTGAGGATTTACACAAGGTACACTACTAACTCTAAATTGAACTAATTTTGACAATAATGGTTTCTATTAAAGACAGGAGATCGAATTGGTGTAATGCGCAAATCAGACAACAGTTTGCACTTTTACTTGAATGGCAAAGACATTGGGAACTGCTTCAAAACAATCCCTGATGTTCTGTACGGAGTTGTGGATATATATGGACAGGCAGAACAAGTTACCATCACAGGTATCCTATCGATTCTTCTTCTGTGAACAATTTCTTTCTTTAAATGGGATCAAGGGAGGCATAATAGTGGATTCACTCATTCGTTTTTGTTTCTTGTGTCCCACTGAAAAACAAAAAACTAAAAACAGGAGGAACCGCAGAAACCCAATCAAGCAATGATGATGAGAAGTCAGGCGAGCAGGATCATATTATTGTCATGGTCCAGATGAAAAAGGCCATCGAAATGATGAAACTGCCATTCAATCCTCTTTTGATAATTAAAATGCTATATACCAGTGTCGCTGAGCCATACACAAATACGCAGGACCGAGCAGTGCGACAGAGATATGGTGATCATCTCTCAGATATTGGAGCAGTACCGGAGCTGAAAAAGTTTTTGGAAAGACTTGATCGACCGGATCTTGGCATCGAAAGCAAAGAAGGTTGGATTGGGATGACCATTGTGCGCAGCATTCTCTGGAATTATTCAGACGCTAGTTTGAAGATTGCCAAAGAAATTGGAAAATGTGGGCTTTTGGGAAGGTTTGTCAATGATCTGAAGCGGATTGGACCATCAGGAGCTTTTGGAGATGAGGTATAGACTAAATAGCCTTGAAATATCAATATGTCAAGCTTTGGGAGAAAACTATGCAATGGAAATAGCAGTGTTAGTATAGTAGAGGATGTTAGACGGTAAATCAAAGATATGAAGTTTTTCTTCAAGTGACGCTTCAACACCGGAGAAGAAAACCATCATATCTTCAAGCCAACATGTAATTTTCGTTTTTTATTATATAGACACATCCAAAAACAAAAACCTGTTGCTGCTCGTAAATGTATTGTCAATGACACTGACTTTATTTTTTGAAAGGTCCTTAGCTGCAGTTTCTCTGCCTCATGTTACATGTTGTATTTTGCATACCAAGCTTGAAACGCACCATGGGCGATAGGAATGCAATCAGCGAAAAATGATATGAAATTTTCCCAAACATTGTCTGCACATATGAAATTTTCCCAAACATTGTCTGCACGTTTTTCTGATATATATATTTTTTTCTGGTATATATATATTTTTTCCTGGTATTATTCTGATATAATTTACATATGAATATAATACATTTCAAGTTTAATTAATTTTTTGGTAAAGCAACATGCAACAAACCCTAAATTTACTTACATTTTTGCAAATAGCTGTATACTGCAAAATTGTTACTAAAGAGACCAAAGACCCCAATTAATCAGTTTTAAAGCAAATGCTTACAAATATATTTACAAATTTCCCTAAATTTTTAATAGAAACAGAAAAGAATCATTGATTCTGCCGTCAACATATTGCACAACTGTGCTAAGGCAACAGAGAATCGTCAGGTCTTTCGTGACATCAATGCCGTAGAGATCCTTGCTCCATTCWTGAAATGCGAAGACTCGGACACTGTGATATCAGCGCTGTTGGCAATGTCTTACATCATTGAAGACAACCAAAAACATCTTCTTGATGCAGACACAAAGGTAATTGGTTATGCTGGCTCCAAAGTCTTTTACAAGTTTTGAAACAGAGGGTAGTGTGGTGTTCAAAGTTTAATAATTTATTGATTATCATTCTTTGTATTATAGACCCAAGCGGACATTTCCCCCCTGGCCCTTTGGTTTTCCTATTTATAGAGCGTGTATCGTATCGTAAATAGTATAAAGTATAGTAGTTTGGCACCCTGCAACATCTAGCATGCTCAAAATTATTATTTGCACCTTATGTCAAGTTAAGATTATTTCGTTTACTCATTTCTTGGGGAATATACTCTGCCAATGTTAATTTTTAATCTACGCTTCGACCATACTTTGTTGGTCTTATTCAGGATGCTAGATAAATAAGTAACATTTGCAGAGTATATTCCCAAAGAAATGAGTGTACGAAATGAACAACTCAAGCAAAAACAAAGTTTCAGACATACAATAAGTTGATTAATTTAAAACATTCTGATATTAGATGAACTCGCTCGATTTGACTAACGTAATCAAATAATTTAACAGCCATAAATGGAATCAATATTATACTTGCAGACAATTGCCAAGTTGCGGGGGATGTTAGTCAACGCAGCAAATAGCCCGGGTCTGAGAGGAAGTGTAGATAGCTCTTCTTGGTCAGCCTTTGAGATCGTCTCTGGGATTGCTAACATCGCAGTCAACGAGAAGAACCGCGCGAACTTGATTGAAGCAGGTGTCATTCCTCCGCTTTTCGATGTGATCAAGAAAGGTGAACCAATGGACAAAGAATGCTCAGCTAATGCATTGTGGGTCCTAGCAAATTCTGAACCGGGCAAAAAGAAGATACGTGATTATCCTGGTGCCATGGCAACGCTGAATGGATTGAGTAAGAACTCAAACAAAAGTATCGCAGCCGCGGCTGAAAGAGTTCTATTGAGAATAAAGCAACAACCTATGCAACAAGGTAAGGCTATTGACTCCTAGTACGAGCTTTCTGTAGCTCACGTATAAAGAGTTTTCGCAGCAGTTATCTAATACGACAAGAGGAATGCCGCAATCCTTTTGCGTGAAGATAAATTTTATTTCCTAAAAGGAGAAATAATTTGTCTTGCCCTAAAATCTATTTCCTTAATCTAAAAAAAAACCTTAAAAAAATTGTCTTGTCCTACAACATTGCTGGCGTGAAACTCCTCTATAAGCCAAGTCATTGCTCTGCATACATGGCAAGATTATCAAGAAAGTTAGAAATATATGACAACTATAAGCTCTTCACATTGAAATCCTTCCAACAATGTATAACTACAAAGACAGTTGCTAAAAGTTAATGCCTGTTTCGTTTTATCGTTTTTTCCCCCAAAGGAGTACCGTTAAGAGGGATGCCAAGGAAGAATTGTTCTTACAAAGAAACATGCAGATTATTCATTGCAGCACTCGATCTTAACGGTAAGGCACTATTAGATGAAGGTAGGTTGAGACCTTGTTGATATGGCCAGCCTTTTGTTTTAATTATCCCGGGGACAAGATGGTTTGGTTATGTTGTGGTGTGGTGTGGTGTTAGGTGTAAGGGTTAAGAGCGCCAAGCTCAAGGAATTGAACATGCTTATAAACTCAGTACCATGAAGCTTTTAAAGAAACGTATTCTCAAGAGAATGACACGTGTTCTGAAATGGGATAACATTACACCCACGGTAAAGTAGGCCAAAGAGGTATTTGGTTGTGCGACGAAAAAAGAACGCTTGGACTTTCCATCTTCATAGATTGTTAGGAGACAGTCATAGTCAATGATGAAAAATATGCGATCTATACACTGTTGTGCCATCATTTTTGATATCATTTGTTTTACAGATGTTTTATTTGACCACAAGTACGACAAATGCTACTGCACAGAATGTCACGCATCACGCAATGAGAAACTCTACTACACACAAGGCAAACCCGCCAAGGACTATGCCATACCTATTGGATGGGCTCGATTTGCACTCAAGTGAATAGAATTGTCTTTCTGTTGAATATTATTATTTTTTGCTGTAACACCTGAAATATGAATTTTAGGCCCGTTCTATACGCCGCTGCACTCATGTGGTCTTTTAAACTTTTTTTAAATTTAAAAGGAAAATATTATTATTATTATTATTACTATTATTCATTTATTTATTTATTTTGTTGTATTTTATTGACATTCGTATGCTAGAATAATGATATACATAGCTTACACTCGTTTAACAATTGAATACACAAATAGAAACAAAAAAAATAGACAAAAACAAAGTCAAAGACAAAGACAAAGTATAAGAGAGAAAGAAAAAAAATTACATTCATTAAATATTTATTTGTTTATTGGTTAACTCGTATACAGGATGGAAAGAACGGCTGTAATACACAATTGTGACACAGATTGGCACGTCGCTTACCATGGTACTTCTCCAGACAGTGTGAAGTCAATACTCGAAGATGGAAAACTTCTTATGCCAGGTAGGATCACTATATCTCAGTTATGCAATCATCGCGTCCACTCGGGAAAGCTCCGATAACAAATCCATGCTCCATTAACCCATACTCCATACTCCATTAATGTTGAACAGTGGGAATACTCAGTACAATGTTTGTGCATTACAAAAGATTTCATTTCACCACATGGCTGGCGTAAAACCACTATATTCAGTACACTGTATACATTATTCCGTATGCATTTTCTTACTCTCTTTTGTCTAATAGTGTATAATTAATGAATTAATTAATTAATCTATTTTCATTTGTTTGTTCATTCTTTCTTCCTTTTTTTTTTTTTTTTTTTTTTTTTTTTTTTTTTTTTTTTTTTTTTTTTTTTTTTTCTCTATCTGTTACCATGGCCATCATCTTAAAGTTAATTACCTGAAGTTAAACCATTTTCTATACCATTTTCAAATTCGTACAATAGCGGTGTATTCCTTGATTACAGAATGTTAACTAAGGGTCATTTTACCGTCAGAATATTCACAAATACAAAAGGTAACACTTTGAAATTCCCCGGACTTTCACTGGAACACGTGAATATTCTACACAAAATCAAGGCTAACCCTAACCAACAGGGAATTCGAAACTGGAATATTAACTTTTAAATAATAACATTATCAGGTGACGAGACTCTGGAAGGAAAAAGATTGTGTGAGGTAGATGGACACTTTACCGATGACAACAAGCCTGAAGGATTCAACACCAAGCAGATCTTCGTATCACCAAGTATTCGATACTCTGGGCKAGAAGTCTACGCYAAGTCCAAGAGGTAAGTCCTTTACAAGTAGGTCATGAAGWTACAGTCATCAATTGTTTTTTCTTTTTATTAAATAGAAACCTTTGATTATGGAGTCATTGAACTTGGAAGGATAATTTTTTTTGTTATCTATCATACATTTCCCATCCTCCATTTTCTTCAAGACWGTCTTTCTCTGTCGTTCGCCACTTTTTCTTTCTTATTATCGAGAACACTTTGCTCGTGTGAGTGACATACTTTTGGATTCCGAAAAATCTTTTCGGTTTATTAGGATGCCAAATGTCATGGACTTGCAATAAAAATACTGTTTATTACTTTACGTGAGGGATGCATGGATTCACCAATACCAAATTTAATGTTGGTCAATTCACAKAATAATATCCCTAAATTTCCAATACCCATTTTCAGTCTTGACGTGAAAGATTTTGCACAATATCCGCGTCCATATCCGCCTGACTATTACATAGATGCAGTCTAGAATCACTCACATGGGAGAATCATGATCAGTGTGCATGTATCACTGGCACTTTCTTAATACGTTTCACAATATAGTATGTATCAATGCATTAAAGTAAAAATAACATTCGGCGCAAGGGGTCATCAATTAACCATATGCTATTAAGATATATTATGATAGTATAAATAAAAGCATCAATCAAGCACCTAAGCAGATCGTCAATAATTCACCCGCATGATTTATCTTAAAATATTAAGTAACGAGCTTCGATGTTATAAGTAGAAGTTAGAATGATATAAGAAGATTTCAGCACATGCACGATACAATATAGTTATATCAATAAAATAATGCAAAGCCTTTGCTTATGACAAACGATATATCACCAAACAGTGAATAAAATTCATAATGAGATAGACTGCACTCTTGGGGACGAATATTGACTTCATATGATCCCTACTTTCTATTGTTTTACAAAGGATTCACGTGTTACATAAATGAATCTAAAGGCTTTTGCGGACAATTTTGTTATTTTACCAGGTTCGAGGATCCACAAACRAAGAAGACCTATAAAGCCAAGGTTGTTTTTCAGTTGTGGATCAAACCTGACAGCTACAAGGTTGGTCAACAGACCGTCGGTGCCGAAAACGAGATTGATCCGAAATTCAGCAACCAGGARATMGAATGGGCAACAGCACGAAGGARTGCCATTCATCTTTATGGGGTTCTTGTACACCTCGAAGAATAAATAGAAACATTTGTCTTCAACTGTAGATCACGCGGGATTGGTATCGTTAATCTCTCTGCAGATGATTATTGCATGAGGAAAAAAACTTTTCAATTTCACCAGGTAGAACATTAATGAATCCGTCAGTAAAATAGTTTACGCACACCTATAACTATAATGAAACGTAATATTTTCTACATTACATGGTAGCTAGCGTTACAACCTCTACAGGGAAATAGCAGAGATTATTCAACTTCACCAGGTAGAACATTAATGAATCCGTCAGT